ATTTGGAGTGTAATTAATGCCTCGATCGCCCGCGAAATCCAGCGGATTTTCTTGACCGGGTATATCTTGAGCTTTGATGACTATTGCAGTAGTTGTACCGCCACAGCAGGACTTTCTTGTTGGTGCGACCTAACTACCATTAACTGGTGTAAGTGATCATGTGATCAAAGCGACGCAACCGATTGCCTTCTCGTTGGAAAAGCCGGAATATGCGTTTAGCTACATAAACAACTGCACCGAGAACTTTACTTACCCGAAAATGTACTCTACGTAGGACCACTATTAGGTATGACAAACGTTTTGCCTAACGTTACTTTTTGTGTAAACTTAATGCCAGACTTGGAAAGTAATCCGTTACAAGCAACGGATTACTTGTAATCGGTTACTTTTTTAATGTAATTTTGTAATTACCACGTTACTTCTTTTCCGAAGTAATTTGTAATGTAATTTCGTTACAAAATATTGGTAACGGATTACTTTAATTACTCGTCACTTTAAAAAAAATATGAAAATAATACAATACCTGGAGAAACACGAGCAGAACATTGTGCAGCATAAAGAGAGAATGATGAACAAAATAAAAAAATATAATAGATCAAGAAAGGGAGAATAGCCAAAAAGAAAACACGATTTTGGTATGACTGGTAACGAGAACTCCTAGAAAAATGAAAATGTATGAAAGACAAAGATCAAGTTAGACAACGCCGAGTTAGCTCTCCCTTGCCTTCCATTATGATGTTCTTCTACCCCCGAGCAGGAGAAAGCCCTTCGTGTTTATTTGTTATTATATTTTACACCGTTTCACCTATTTCAAATTCGACGTATCCTGCTACCTGCACAGACATCAAACGCGGGTCCGTACCCTTCGATTCGCGAGTTCACAACTCGCGTAACAGGCGATGTAGCCTCGTGCGAGGGGATTAAATTCTCATTTTGTCTTTTCTGTGCGCTACGGTATTCTAGCACGCTTTTGTGGCATAGCTGAAAAGCGCCAGGCGCGACGCTAAGAGCATGGTCTTTGGGGGTACTAAAGACACTTTTGGTTTACTTGTCTGCGCATGGTAGTTGAGTCCGCGCCTTACTTTACAGTCAACTGTACACATAAAAGCTGGCTTAGGCCATCTAAGGAGTGCTGACATAGAGAGAGAGAGAGAGCAAGCGTAAAAGCGGTGTGATCCTTTATTGTTTTGTAAGACCGATGGCCATCACTTCTCTCATCCTCTATGCCCTCCCCTCCCCTGGCCTACAAGAATATTGGTATGAAAGTGAGAACCGAGGAACGACCGATAACCCGTAACCTCCACTTTTTCTCTGATTGGTGAAGTTTTCGGTCATAAAACGTCCGTCGTCTCCATGGTCATTTATTATTCAGACGTTCAACATTCAGGGCATTAAGGAGAACCGAAACCTAGAGTTTCAATGCATACTTTGCTTGCCAAAAAAACAAACAAAAAAAAAACAAACACATATTGTCATCACCAAGAACAACAAACTCTGAACTACGGAAACACATCAAGGTAAGCTGGGACACCTGCATTCTGCATTGGATATACTTTGGAACGTTAGAACCAAGTTTTTCTTTTCTTGTGAACAACAGACAAAACACCCGTGTAAAAAGGGACCTTTCGTAGATCGTTTCTTTAGCTCCAAATCTCGTACCGGAACTAGACGCTGCTACTGTGCACGCGCACCGCTAGCTTGTTCTGCACAATTCCAGGGATCATTTCCAGAGGCCGTAAGCTAGCGGGGTGGTGGGTGTGGTTGCAGCTTTCAGTGCCTTGTCAGCTTGCAGGTGAACGAAGTTTACCAACACTCTTTCCTCTAAATACAATATTTCATTCTTACAACGACTACCATAATACGGGCGTATGAGAAAAGAAAAGTAGTGTTACAGAACATTTTTTTTTTAAAATATCAAGATTGTCTTATTGTTTTCTAGATAAGCGCACGAAAAAGTAACGTGAAAGTAATTGGTAACGTAATGAATAAAGTAATCCGTTACTTTTCAGCGAAAGTAGTTTTTAATGGTAATCTATTACATTTGAGGCTCGGTAATTTGTATATGTAATCCATCACATTTTTCAAGTAACGAGCATAAGGCTTCCTAATGTGACGTTTTAAAAAGTGTTTATCTCCATTTTATAAAAAAAAAAATTTACTCATAAAGTTTCATTTCAGTTTAACATTATGTATGGTAACAAAAGCAATACTTCCAACCAGACAACAAAAACAACATTAAATACTCCAGATTTCTGGCAGTTCATCCTTTTTAATCTCCAATAAGACGCTCTAAACGCTACAGACGTGGAAAGGGCTCTTTGCAGTGGTCTGGGAATGCAACGTTCCTTTTCAAGCATACTTTTATTTTACCACGTGCTCAATAAAACAAAAACAAAAATAAAAGAAAGTTGTCGGTTGTGTCACGATAGGGAACGACAACAAAACCTTTCACAGATCTACAAAACATCAACAGCAAAAGGTACTATAATAGGCAAGAGAAATATGAATGCCCAACAACCGCTCTTCCCACCCTTCAGCGGAACTCGAAAAGGCGATTTGTGCCTCCAGCCGAAAATCAAGAATTCACTCAAACCAACTTTCGCGGGCAGACACAGTTGGCGTTTTGTCATAGTATGGCACTAAATTTGAACCTGGGGAAGCAGTGCATCTTCACCAATTGACCTTTTTCACATAAAGACGACACCAAGAGGCGACAGCTTTAAGTGCGCTTGGCGTCCGGAATGAGAACTGCGCTACCTCTTCTGCCTTCCCCCCGACTCAGCTGAGTCGAAATAAATTTAGGACAGCGTGTTGTAAAGCGGGATTCAAACCAACGCGTTTCTGTGCGCGCGTAGGCCTCGCGGCTTACGGAGTTTGCATATTTCGATACGTCGCGCGGATTCCGTGCGCCTTCCTGGCGCGTAAAACAAAGTTGGATGATTTTAACTTTTTGTGAACGCATAAGAAAACGCGCTGGGACGTAATAGGGCGTACCTGCTCCCGACCAATCGTTGGAAAGCTCAAGTTCCGGCTTCGCCGTAAGACGCTGATGCTCTCCGCTCGCCGGAAGCCGCACCTTCCTAACCAACACGCATGGTTGCGACCCAGAAAGCGCACCGGAAACAGCAAAAACGCCACAAAATACGCAATTTCCAGGAAGCGCACTGGCTACGCGCGCACAAAAACGCGTTGGTTTGGATCGCGCTCAACTCGTCTTCTGAACGCCAACCGCAGTTTGAGCTTTCGGCGCTGAGTGAGGAGGGCGTGAGCATGCACAGAATCCTTCTAGAAAATGGTCCATTCGGGTCCTCAGTTTCGCATTTTCTCTTCTACCTTTCCAACCTGAATGAGCCAATCCACAATCATAAACACAAAGAGCATTCTAGCATTCTTCTTTCTCTAAATCGACGTTTCCAAGTTTCGAATCTATTTTGCATTCAAATGCCGAGAATTCCAAATAAATGTTTGTTAACAAAATAATTTTGTTAACGTTCTGTTTACGAAGTTTTAGTGTAAATAATGAGCTGGTCAAACGAGTATTCAGCTAGGAGCTCCTAAGGCTCGAATCGTTGATGCTTGGCAGGGGTCTGGACCTCTATCTGGGCGAAGGCAATGAAACATTATTTTGTTTTTCAAAAACTTTGCGCAGAATGTTAATATTTTAACAAATCGGCACAAATAAACAAGATTAAAAAAATTATTTCTGGTCCTCCTAAAACGCTAAGGTATGCGAAAAAATTATTCATTGCTATGTAGCGTTTTCTCAATTAAGGCGAAGTTGATTTAAGATGGACAAGCCGTGTCTTCTGCGTTTGGGTTGTAATCATGTTGGCGATTACTATTGAAATGAACAAGCTGTTTGGTTTGCTTATTTTTACTTCTTTGTGTCTTGATTAGAGCATGGAAGGTGATGCTCTACTCACCCAGGGTCAAAACAATTTTGCGAAGTCCCAATTTGCAAAAGAAGCGTGATCCCGCGTTTACATTTGTTTTTTGACAATGATGGTTCGAATTACTTCAAGTCTTTACAGAGCCTTCGAACCTAGGAAAGACGAAATGGTATGAAACAGGTCGACTAAAATGACATTACAAAATCACACAAGCAATTGCCTACTAGCTAAAATTAATAGCTGCGTTATTAAATACACCTATTTCTGTCTTGTTTTATTCAAGACTATCACTGCAATTCAACATGACATATCGTGCTAAGGACTCGACTTCACTAATTAAATTGGTGAGAGAAATAAAATGGTCGTGTATTATATAAATAGTTCCGTGCAGTGAAAGAGCGATACTGCATCTCTTCAAAATTTTAGATTTGACGAGTACTTTCTGAAAATAAAGCGCTTCAAATCTATGCGATTGCACCTCAGCTTTTTAAAACATTACACGGGCCTCTCGAGATAAGCAGCTAATTATGAGTTCTATGTAAGCACAGATTGGAGTAGTCATTTTGAAACTCCCTTTAAAAGTACACACTTTACTGCAAACAAAAATCTAATGTGCACTAAATATTGTCAGTATTCAAAGACGGAGTACGTTCAGTGTATTATTTCGCTGTATTAATGCCCATAATAAATGTATCCCGTGCACACCTTTCCCCGAGATCAGCTCATGCATTGCGTATTTTATAGCGCCTACTCTGTAAGAAGTCATGCCAAGCAATATATAGAGCATTTTTCTCCGCTACAAAGGCAATATATATATTTTTTTACCAATGAACGTTTCGCTTACCAACTATGGCGGATTACATTTACCACAAAAGAGGCTCGTTTTGTGATATAAGATATCCCCCCACCCCCAAGCGACGTCTTTTTCATAACGTCATCGTTATTCAACACGATTGAGCGCTTTGGTTCAATTTAGTTCGTCATCTTTTTTTTTTTTTTCTGAGGTCCTACATCACTGACACTCTCCGACGGGCTGTACGGACGGAAGAAAGATAAAAGGCGCAGCAACGACGCAAGTCCGCTTTCGCCACCGGAGTTCCAATTGCCTAATCAAAGGCGTGTGCTCGCGTCAAAGTGCGACTTCGAGTTCAAGATGTAGCTGACATCTGGCGATGGTTTACTGAGGCGAAACAACCTCAGAAAGGTGTCCCGTATTTCTGAACTGCACAAACAATACACGTAAAAGTTCATGGCAAAGTTGGCCATCTCCATGTCATTGGCGATGGCCCGGAACAGCTGGAAGCCGTAGTTGAGTTCCTTGTCGTCACTGATGAGCACCGTGAGAACAGCTGCAGGAGTCATGCACACGCAGAACATAATTACAATGGCCGCCAGGAGAATGACCAAACGCTGTTCTTCGAGGAACTTTCCCGTGTCCCTATTGCTGTTGTTCATGAGTGTTTGGCGCTTGCGCATGAAACGGCGAAAGGTAAGGATGATGGTGGTGTTCAGCACCGCCACCACGAGAACCGGACCTATCCGCACCAGGACCTCTTTGACCAGGAGGTACATTTTAAAGACAGGCTGCCGCGAAACAGAGATGTTGTCGCACGGTACGTACTGAGTCCGGTTAGCAAATTCGTCCCAGACCGGCACTGGACTTTTCTGGAAGGCCACCGGCACGTACAAAAAACCGGCAGCTAGGTAGGCCGTTACGATGGCCAGCTTTGCACGTCTTGAGTTGTGGAACTCCCGGTACCGCGTCGGCAGACACACGGACCAGTAGCGGTCGACGGTGACTGCCACCACAATGAAGACGCTGCTGGCCATCAGTGCGTTCACCAGCGGCATCTCGACGTGGGCGAAATAGAAGGCAGCAGAATACGTGCGCGGCTGGATGCCGTGCAGCCTCAGCATCGAGAACACAGCAACGACCAGCGTCAAGAGGTCCGACGTGGCCAGCCAGGTGAGGTACACGAAGGTGACGCCTTTGAGGTTGGGCCTCGTCAACACAATCAGGTTGATGAGGTTCCCCACAATGCCCAGAGCGATGATCACAAACGACACGACACCGTAGGCGATGAACTTGAGTGTGTCGATCTGCTGCTTGAGGAGCAAGGTGTCCTGATCGCTTGCCAAACGGTACTGCCACGTCAAAGGCTCGGATGATGGTAATGACTCGTTCACGACGATAGACTTGAGGTTGGGGCACACCACCATTGTGTTCTGCAATCAGAAACAGTAGTAAATGTTATTTCACGTGATCAAATTAGTAGACACAAAAAAAAAAACGAATGACACCACTGTTTTAATTTAGACGATTGAATATCTAATCAACGTTCAAATTTCTTTGCGCCAACAACTTAAACGAATAGATTGATTTTGCTGCATCACTCAACTAAAAATCTTTCATTCTTAGAATATTAAACTTACGCATCATTTTCTACTAAAGCGCACTGTTTTTCAGAACACTTTTCTTTGTGACTTACAATAGGGCTCATTGTCTAGAATACGTAATGGCGGTAACCACAGTGCGCCTTCGAAAAAGTAGTTTTAAAATTTTACGAATTAAAAGTACTCGTCAGACCGTGTTACGCCTCCTTCTCGGGTAACAGTTACGCTCCAAACGTTATGGAGAAATCTGTCTGCAAGTTGGAACAGAGCGGTATTTTTTAAACGTCCTCGGTATCTTCAGAAAGAACGCCATATGACACTTGTCTGTGAAACAGAAAGTCCAACCTTAACACTCCCGCTCAGTATTCTTCTTTATATTTTAATCTTGGCTCAGGCAAGATATCTTTTTCTTGCTTTTAAAATAGCATAATTACAGTTGGAGACACCGGCTGAACTTCCTACTTTTATTAGAAAATATATTATAGGCATCCACGAACGTTATAGAAAGTAAGTGTTATGGACACATCTTCTAGTCCAGGGGTGGCCAAACTGCGGCTCGCGAGCCGCATGCGGCTCATCGCGGGTCCAAGTGCGGCTCGCTGCTTTCGGTTGAGCGTCCCTCCTTTGTTCCAAAGACGAGAGAAGAATTAAAGAATTTAAGAAAAAGCTTACAGAGTTGGCAGCCTTGTATTGACTACGTAGATATAACTGGACTGGTCTTTGACACATTCATGTGTCCAGTGAAACTGTTTCCTTCATTATTCTAGAAACAATTTCGAACGGTATACGCATAACGGATGTCAGGGGCAGTGGCTGGCTAGCGAACCAGCCGGAGCTTTCATTTTTGCTGAGCGGTTGAAGTAACATTCTGCTGCTTGGTGTTATTTGTTGTAGTAAAAAATTATACTTGTCCTTTTTGGAAAACATTGATCCCTCCATATCGTTTTTTTTAAGCAGCCTTTTCCTTTTGCTTTCCCTGTGGCTCTTTGAACTTATGTTGTTTTTGTTTGCGGCTCTAACCCCATGTCACTTTGGCCACCCCTGTTCTAGTCTAATACGTTCATCGACGGGAGAGTACCATGAGTCTGCGTGTTCACTTGAGAAATCTGTCGATTGCACAGTAACTTTTCTTAGAACCTCCCGTCAACTGTTTGCATGTCAGCATTTCGCAAAACGGAGAAGCGCCCAACCCATCCACTGTCAAGAAAAGCTTTTGAAACTTCGATTAAACATCACGACAACGTAAAATAAAACACTTCGATCTTATGATTGCTCAAGGCAACTCTCTCTCTCGCTATAATCTAGTTTCTGCTTGGTGAGGCAATCTGCAACCTAGTTTCATCGACGTTCTCAATCACGTACGAGCGGCCGCACCCTAAATGCAATTAGTTTCTTTCATTGGGCACCAACAGCTGCAACGTAGGGCTTGGTTTTCGTTTATATTTTTTATATTGTTGCTCGTTTGAAAACTTCACAAAAAAAAAAAAAGCTTAGAAGTCCACGTACATCCTTCTTGTTTAAATACACTCTGAAGGGGAGAAAACTTTAGCTTTGTGGCTCTACAAGGCACGCGATTGTTTACACAAAGCAAAAAGTTTGAAGATATATTTACAGAAGACACTGACCGCCTTCCACAGCCAGAAGGTTAACTATCAAATACCCGGCGCAGTTAAATGAGAGACATCTCCTTCTGTGTTCTTTAAGCTAATCGTCGGTTATGATCGCAGCTTCGTGTAACGAGAGTCTCTAAAGTCAGCTGAGTACGCAGGTCATTCTCGTATGTAACCAGTGTGCAGAAATGACGTATTTACCTATGTTAATTTGAAAAACAGCCTCACTGCCACCCGCTATCGGCACACCCCTGTGAGCTTCCGGTTTTCCGCTTATTGTAATTTTGCTTTGCATCCCTTTGTTAATTGTACTAGCTTCTACAGTGCGCGCAGGTTCTTAAAGACATATTACACATACCTTTTCATACAAAAGTCCTCATACCCAATCACTGAGCGTTGTTGAAGGAAAACTAAAAACACTACCGATATTCTTCTGAAGCACCAAATACTGTGACATGGTCGTGGTATCATCTCCGGATAAATTCGGTGAATAGTTTACAATGTTAGTGTTAATATAAAATAGGGTAAGTAGAAGTCGGCACATTATGTGACTTTTAAGGATTTTTTAAATAATAAAATAATGCAATAAACAGTAATTCCACTATAATAAAATGGTAAGAAAGAATGTGCAGGATTAGAGGAAGTGAAAGACTAATAAACTTCGCATAGAAATTCTGAGATTTCTCTCCACACTTCGAAAGCAATGATCCTATTCGTTCACGTAATTATCATTTTTATCTTTTCTTTCTTTTATTATTCCTATAATTAGTTTCTTGCTAAAAAAATAAAATTTTCACCAGATAAACTTTTAGGGACAGTATGAAACGGAAAAAGATGTATAAACCTCCCGTTTGTACCTAGTTTTCTCTTCGTCTTAAGTACAAGCAACCGCACAGAAACTAATAAAAATATTTTCTTGTTGGTGATCGCGTTGTGTGCAGTCATAAGCCTCCAAAAGTCGCATAGTTGGGGGCACTTAAAATTGCTACTGAAAACAAAAAGCTGTAGGGGTAAGTGTACTTCAAAACTTTTCTTTTTATCCCGGCCGAAAGCTTTATTAGTTTTTCAATCCGGTCGTTGGACTCAATTTCGCAACAGGGACCAGAGTTAAGTTGACCAATTAAAAGCTTTCGCAAGGGGTTTACGCCATTTATAAGAAACCGAAGTATTTCTAGCACTAACATTTCGTCATCCAATTGCAGCTTTCTGCGAAACACAGCGCGGCATCAGAAGTGCCGGCTCCAATCGAAGTGACTCCCGTAATACTTATCCAAGCGGTGAACTAGAAGCATTCGGAGAGAGCGCTTTCGGAAAGAGCCTGATGCAATTATCAAAACTCCTGCTCTCTGATCCATGCCAGTTTCACGGCAACAGGCCGGATTAAGTGCCGCGGCCCTCCTCCCGTGAGAGATTAACACAGACGATAAGTCGCCGAGAAGGCGTTGATATATAAGCTTTTGAAAACTCCATGTTCCAGCTAAGTTGACAAAAACACTTTTCTTCTTAGCGTAATCCGACGAGGAGATTGACTGGGGCGAAATTTCGCGGCCAGCTTTTCCTGGGCCCCCGGATCGCGAATCAGGACAGTGGTTTCCACTCGAGAACCCAACCCTACACAGCATCGTATGTGTACACTGTACACATACGACGTGTATACACATTACTTAAAAAAAGTAATCATGTATCGTGGCTCTAATCTCACTCAAAAACCAAATAAGCACGTTACTCGTTCCTGAGATTGAAAAAAAAAAAAAAAAAAAAAACAATTTAACAATCTTTTGCTTTAAATCGAAAGTAAGGAGTCATGATCTCGTTACCCTGAATGTTGTTTTCTGAAGCAGCATCCGCCTTTTAATAATTCATACAGATAATGATGTCTAGCTCTTAAGGCAATATGGGAATCTTTGCTATTAATGGGCATTATAACGCCCGTTTTGACGAAAAGCCGGCGGCGTCTCCCGTTTGTGAGCGCCGGGGAGAGAGGGAGAGGTGGGAGGAAGGGGAGACGCGTGAGACGCTCTCATTGGTTCGAAGCGCTGACGTCAGCACGCGTCAGCCTCTCCCTCTCTCCCCGGCGCAGACAAAATGACAGATACAGGCGGTTTTTCATAAAAACGAGCCCCGTCCTTTTTTGCAAAGTCACGCGCACAGATGGCGCGGAGCCAGAGAGTCAGCGCTCCTTCGGGTCAAGTTTGAACGTTGACGCAATCGTTGTGTAGAATCTGTGCTCAGCGTCAGCCTTCTCTGATGATGCAATCTCACCTAGGAGGTGTTCTGCAGCGACGCGGTGCAATGCGGGCGTGCTCAGTCGGCGCTCTGCCGTCGCCGGTTGTTCTTCGTTCTAGGTTTGCCGAGGAGCGGTGCGTGGGCTGTGATGTCTGTGTGTAGTTAAAACGATGGATGTGGTTCATTTCATGAGTGATATGGATGTGGTTTCTTCCATGAGTGGTATGGATGTGGTTCTTTCCTCGAGTGATATGGATGACCGTATCCAAGGGCGTAGACGTACTCTGACAGCCAGAGTACAGAAAAAAAAAACTACAGTAAGATCCATTGGTGGATTCTTAGGGAATTCATTAGCATGACCCATGCGAAACGTCACACAAGTACTCTTTTGGGAAACGCTAACACTGAACCCGTAGCAAGGTCAAGAAGAGGCAGCATGAAATAGAGGAAGGAAAAGAGAAAGCCAAAAAAAAAAAAAAGTAAGGGGTCAGCGTTTGCGTTTCTCAAAGGGGATGTGTGGCATCCCCAACGGTAATGCTAACGTATTCCCTAAAAATCCATCAATATTTTTTTAGCTGACGGTTTGGCTGATGTAACAGTCACAGGCGCAAGCTGTGGTCTATACCAAATTGGGTAACTTATGTTGAACACGCTTCTCTCAGAAAGTAACTAAATAGATTGACACGTTACTCCATCAAAAAGACGCTCGTTTCTTTTCTAACAACGTAACTAAATCGTTACTCCGGTACCGAAATAAGTAACTAAAATATTAAAGGAAGATCCACTGGTAGGTCCTTAGGGAATTCGTTAGCATGACCCTTGGGAAGCGCCACACGCGTCCCCCTTTGGGAAACGCTAACGCCAACCCCTTCACTTTCCTGTTTTGGCTTTCTCTTTTGATACCTTTATTTTTCGCTGCCTCTTTTTGGCTTCGTTACGAGGTTAGTGTTAGCGTTTCCCAAAAGTGGACGCGTATGGCGTTTCCCAAGA